GGAGAGTTCCTTGGAGTGAGGGATCAGCATCTTCGGGGAAATAGCCATGGCTTCTTTCCCTTTTCTCCCCTTGTGAGTGTGAAGAGTTTGTTTGCCCCACCTCTCAAGCCAAGCAAAGGGACAAGAAAGCCACTCAGAGATTGAGGGTACCTGCAGGAAAGGGCAGTGGGTGTGTCAAACCCCATCTGGGTGCTGGATGTGCTGCGGAAGGCCCCCCGCCCAGAGCAGAGCTCAGTGAGGGAGGCTTTGAAGAGCTTGCCACGTGCCCCTGAAGTCTGGGAAGCAAAGGCTGGGCTACTGCACCAGTCCAGTCCGTCTCCCGTGATCCCAGCACAGAAGAAAAGATGCCCAGAAGAAGCCCAGTGCGAGAAGGAAGGAGGGAACGTGCAGGGAAGTGGGAGACGAGACCATCCGCATGTCCCTGCTGCGCGTTCCTGGGCCGCGGGTTAGGTCTGAGCAGGAAAAGCCTTTAAGTTGCGCTAGACCGAAGTCTTCAACCCCTGAAAATAATCAGAAAGCTGCAAGATCTGCCAGAGGTATTATTAAAGGACAGAAAAGAGATTGAATATAGCACTTTGTAAGTATCTGACTTGATAAATAACACATTTTCGACCTATGAAATATTGAGTTCAAACTTCCAGTAAGTTCTTAGAGCCGTTTCCCCGCTGTCAGAAGCACACGCATGATTCCTGCCTCTTACACGGCAGCCTGCCCCACCCAGAGAACTCGCTGGTGGGCTAGTCTTCGTGAAAGGTCATCCATGCTATTTCTGTGTGTGTGTGTGTGTGTGTATACATACACACACACACACACATATATATAAAGACTCTTTTCGTGTATATGCTACTTGTTTATTTTTAACTTATTGCTTAGTGAATCATGTTTTCATATATTTATTATAGTTTTATATTTTCTCTCTTGAAAACTGCTCCACAATAAATTGTCCTTTCTAATTTCCTACACTTCAGTTCAAGCCCTTTGTCAGAAACTTTTCATAGTCACTTCTTTGATAGCTCAGTTGTGATATTTTGAAATTATTAGTAATCTATCCATACAGTTTCGTTTGTCATTTTTAAAAAGCACTTACTGTGTAAATCACTTGGAATCTCTATAACTTGGAGCTTGTTCAGAAAACAGTTTAGATTGCAGGTAAAGCGGTGCCCAGAGTGAAATTTACAGCTGTAAACATCTATATTAAACAATGAAAAAGATCTCAAATTAACAACTCAATTTCTACCTTCATAAACCAGGGAAAGAAGTAATCCAAAGTAAGTATTAATCTACATAATAAAAATTAGAGTAGAAATTAATAAAACAGAGGATAGAAAAATAATAGAGAATATAAGTGAAATAAAAGGTTGACTCTTTGAAAAGAACGACAAAACTGACACACATGTAGCCAGACTGATCAAGCCAAAAAGAGGAAAGATTCAAATCACTAAAATAAGAAATGAAAGAGGGGATATGGCTACCATCCTTACAGAAGTAACACGGATGATAAGAGACTGCTTTGAGCAACTGCCTGCCCAGAAAAGCAACCACCAGAGCTTTGCAGCTGCTTCAGCAGTGTTTACTGGAGAGGCTGTTCCTTCCTCATTGAAGGGTCTTGGAAACCCTTGTCAAATGTCAATTGACCATAAATGTTCGACTTTATTTCTGGACTCTCAGTTTCATTCCATTGATCGGCACATCTACCCTTCTGAAAATAACAGTCTTGGTGACTGTAGCTTTGAAGTAAGTTTGAAATTGGGAAGTATGAATCCTTCAAACATACACAAAATTTAACTCAAAATGGATCAAAGACCTAGATGTAAGAGAGAAAACTATAAAACCCTTAAAAGGAAAGTTAGGGGTGAATCTTCATGACCACGGATTTGGCAGTGGTTTTTAGATATGACACCAAAAGTACAAGCGACAAAAGGGAAAATAGATAAACTGAATTCCATCAAAATTTAAATCCCCTGTGCTTCAAAGGACACTATTAGGAAAGCAAAAAGAAACGACAGAAGGGGGTGAAATGTTTGTGCAGCGCACACCTGATGTCCGGGATCCGCAAAGAATACTTACAACTCAACAAGAAAAAGGAAAATAACCTGATTTTAAAATGGGCAAAGGATTCAAACAGGCATTTCTCCAAAGATCTACGCATGAAAGATACACAAGGGCACTACTAATTAGGAAAATGCAAATCAAAGCCACCGTAGGTCCCACACCTCACACTCCCTAAAATGGCTACAGTCAAAAAGATCTTTAAAAGTTGGGAAAAACTGGAGAAATTAAAACCCTCATCTATCACTAGCAGGGATGTAAAATGGTGCAGCCATTTTTAAAACAGTTTGCACATTCCACAAAATGTAAAACTTTTTTCTTTACCCAGAAATTTCACCCCTGGGTATATACCTGAAAGAACTAAAAACATATTTTCACATAAAAACTTGTAAATGAACGTTCATGGCATCATTATTCATAGCCAAAAAGTGGCTATTCATGAATAAACAAAATGTGGTGTACTCCTACAATGAAATATTTTTCAGCCAACTTGAGTGAAATGTGAAAACATTCTGCTAAGTAAAAGAATCCAGCCAGGAAAGACTGCGTATTGTATGATAGCGATTTATGCAAATTTCTAGATAGGCAAATCTTTGCATACAAAAAGCAGCTTAGTGGTTGCCTGGGGACAGGGGCTGGGAGTCAAGTGCAGGCACAGGGGTGGGTGGGGAGCAATTGCTAGCAGGTTTCTTCTGAGAGTGGTAAAGTGCTCTGGAATCAGACAGTTGCGGTAGTTGGAAACTCTGATGAACATACTAAACATCACTGAATAGCACATTTTAAAAGGGCGAATTTTATGGTATGTGAGCTACATCTTAATTTTTTAGGAGCTCCTAGGACCTCTGTGGGGTTCTGGGAGGGCCCAGTTCCAAAGTCTTCTGGTTTCTAACTCAGATAAAGAATTGCTTTAACATTCCATTTTATGTAGTATGTGTGACTACACCAAAGAATAACTGTTCCATTAGACTGAGTACATTATGCCACACAAGAACGATGCCAAGTGGTGGCGTAGACTGTGGAGCGCATCGGGAGGACAGTGCTCCGGGGGCTGGTTGGGGACTGGGCGGAGCGGCACGGGGCAGCAGTCAGGAAGTCTTCTGGGAGGGGCAGGGCTGAGCCAGCCCTTGATGGGTGAGTGAGACACAGGTAAGTGGGCCAAGGGGCAGGTGAGAGCGATGAGCATCAGAAGGGTCATGTCGAGGACAAGTGACACACATGCGAAACTTCCTTCCACGCCTGCCCCGGAGACCCAGAGTGGGTGGGACACGGGAAAGACCAAAGAAGGCAGGAGGTCAGGCAGAAGTGGAGAGGTGTACGCTCCTGGGGTGTCTCCAGGAGAGCGGGATGCAGGGAGACCAGGCTTTGCATGAAACGTGGTAGGGTAGCTACGTCTGTACACGAACTGAAATATGTAAAGAACTAGGAGCTCCTTTAATTGAAATTAATATAATGCCGTTTCTGGAGCAGCTGGCCCACGTGGGGTGGGCTAAAGGAGAAAACATCCTTCAAACTACTGGTGAGATGTCTCTACTTCTATCGCCTTTAAGAAAATCTCATTTTAGGAAGTTATTCAGTCAAAGTAAACGTCACCTCCCGACTAACCTCTTTGCCCCTCTCTTTCCCTTGTCCTGCCCGTGGCGGCCTCTGGGTTCAGGAGCAGGGAGGCTGATGCAGCCGGGAAGCCTCACACAGGAGGAAGCCTGGCATTCTACTGTCGGATTTTGGGGTTTTGCTGCCCCCTACTGTAGGAGGGCTGCACTGGCAGGGTTCTTGGGCTGGGGCCGAAGATATCTGTGGTCAGTGAACTTGCGCTCCACCCTCCCGGCCTGGGCAGGCCCAGTGGTCCTCCTGGCTGCCTCCGGCTCACTTCAGCCGTTACCGGAGCTGGGGATCTCGCTGCGCCCCGGCTGTGGCTCCCGGATGTCCTGTCCCCAGCAGCCCACCCTGCCGCTTTCAGCTGCAGAGGCACGGACCCCCGTTCATCCCCACGGGGTGACCCTCCCACCTCCCACTTCCCCACACCCTCAAGGAGCTCCTTCCTTCTCCGCAGGACAGATGGGAGCTTCTGGATCCCTGTCACCTCCATGGGAGTCAGGGGAGCTTGGAAGCGGTCTCTTCCTTCCAAGTAGGAAATAGGGCCTAAGACTTCTGTTTCCTGCTATCTTCTCAACCGGATTATTCATCCCACTTCCAGGCGGCAGCTCCACTGGTGACAGTCAAGGCATGCATCTGTTTGACTGGCCGTCTCCATCCCCTTCTCCCTCAGGACTGGAGACGCTTTCAATGACCTGTCCCTGTGCAGAAGGGACTTCCCCTCCATCACAGCCTCCTCCGCTTCCCTCTGCCCTTTGCCCTTCCTGAGATCCAGAGGGTCACAAGGTCACCACTACCCAAGCAAGTAAGTTAGACCAGGCAGTAATTTCTAAATTATTCTAACCTCGACCCCCATGTTTTCTCCATCTGGAGAGGGATGGGATGTGTGGAGACAGGGAGGAGAGAGAGGAGAGAGAGGTGAGAGGAGAGATAGTCAAAGCAACCAGTCTGGAAGCAGCCGGGCGGGGCTCAAAGCTGGCAGCTGGCCCATGGGTTTAAAGAGGCATTTTCTTAAGGACCAGGGAAGCTGGATCATGGGCTGAACTGAGAAGAGAGGGAAGATATTTATTTAGATAGTGTTTTGAGAAACCAGATTCTCCACCCAGGGGCTAGGAATCCCCCTGCTGCTTCACGGAGTCCCAGCCCAGGAAAGAAAATAATTTGGTGGGGTTAGGTCTCCAGCTTCAGAAGAGTAATTTGGGATCTCCCCGGGAAGGATAGATTGAAAAGTCAGGGTGCGGAATGTCAAAAATTACCCTGCAGGTGCCCCAGTGTGGGAGGAGCCACTTCCTGCTCCTCCCAGGGCCAGCGTCACCCGGAGCCTGGTCAGGTGAGGCCTATGAAACACATCTCCGACGCCGCTCCTCACACACCCGGAACCTCAGGGACTGACCGGTCCACGTCCGGGTCTGACCAGGTGAGTGGGTCTTTTGGGACCTAGAGAGAGCACAGCTGTTTTGGGGGGAGGGAGGTCTGTTGGGGATCACGGGGGAAGGAAAGGGAGTGGGTAGGAGAGATTTTTGCCTTGCATCTTGTAAGAGCCACCTGGGAATTTTACATCCTAAAATTGGATGGTGAGTGATTAGCTGGCCTCAATTCTTGCCAACGTCTGGCCTCTGGCGACTGAGACAGCTGGCTGGGGAGGGTGGATCACAGGCCATGTACCTCTCACAGACACATTCCTGGATGCTTAGAGAGGGTGACTGAAGGACACGGAGAAGATGGTGACCCCCAGTGTTACCACGAAATGCCATCTGGTGTCCTTTTCTCTACTTGAGTATAGTTGCCGGCCTGCGTCTCTTTCCTCATTCATTTATACATTCAGATATTTTTCACTTACTCAGCAGTTACTTGTGGAGCTCCTACAGATTACCTGTGCCCTTCTAGACTCTGGAAGATAAAGAGTGCAGAACTGGGGGCGGGGCTGAAAATCCCTTTCATTTCTGTGTTCCACCTATATTTATTGGACGCCTTCTGTTTGACAAGAATTGTGCCACATCTTAGAGAAACGTTCATTTTTAATGAGTGAGATGGAGGCTTTGTGTTGACTGTGTGTGTGTGTGTGTGTGTGTGTGTGTGTAGTTCTGATTACCTCCCCATATCAACAGCCTATGGGAAGATTCCAAAGGCGGAAGCGATGGTCTAAGATTTCAGAAGCCCTTAAAGCATCTGTATTGGGTTTTAGGTTGACGGAACTCCCACCCAGATGTCCTGCCAGCAAACCCAGCAGGCTTGCTGGCCTCCTTTTAAAGTGCCCACCACCAAGTGCCCCCCAAAGTGTCCCCCTAGGGGCCCTCCCAAGATGCCCTGCTCCAGTCTCTTCCTGCTGTGGGCCTAGCCCCAGGGCTGCTGTGGCCTCAGCTGACTGACATCAGAGCTTGAGCTGTTGCCAGAGCTTTGGGGCTGCTTCCCACCTGGGCTCCCAGCATCAGCTGAGTGACCAGCTGGCCGAGGACGGGCACCAGCCCTGTGCTGCTCGTCCCTCAGTCTCTTCCATCCCTCGATGAGCTCTCACCTGGGGAACAAGGCCGCCCCGGAGCTGTGCTGCAGGACAGCCACCCTGGGGCTGGGCTCAAACTCACTCTCCTGACGTTTGGATGTGATGGCTCGGAATGTGCTGCTCGGCTACAATAAATATTTTTAACCACCAGCCCTCTCCAGTCCTGTGGTTTCTTTTTTTGATTCATGTTTTCACTCTATTTACCAAATTCTACTCCTTCTCTCTGAATAAATGGCTGGGTTCATAACTTTGAGTGAATAAGGGCAAAATCAACTTAGCAAATGAAAATAAGTTCATGTTTAAAATAAAATGAATGAATATAATGAAACAGAAACAGACTCAGATACAGAGAACAAACTAGTTACTCGTGGGGAAAGGGGTGGGAGCAAAAGCAAGATAGGTGAAGGGCATTAAGAGGCACGAACTACTTGGGATAAAATAAACAAGTTACAAAGATGTGATGTCCGGCGCAAGGAATATAGCCAATAGTTTATAATAACTTTAAATGGAGTATAACCTATAAAAATACCAAATCACTGTTAGATACCTGAAACTAATATAATATTGTAAGTCAACTGTACTTCAATAAAAGAAAAAAGCTTAAAACTCTTAAGGAACTAAATACAACCTTTTTTAAAATACCTGTATGATTTGTTTTAATTAAAAATGTGTAAAATGTGGTCAGTACTGAAATAAATAAATTAGGGATATACTGATACATCAGGGAGAATCTTCCTATTATTATATGTTCAAAATGTCCTTTTAACGAATCGTCTTTTAAGAGTCTACAACAGAAAGATTTCTTTTATGTAAAAAGACATTCATTTGGACATTATTTTTTTAATGCCCTTACAATAAAGTATAATGTTAATCTATAAATTTGTGCTCAGACTTTGCTGCTGAGATAGTTATTTGGAAGAGGACCTGTGTGAAGGAATGCCCTGGCTTCCTTCATTTTAGATGAAGGAAACATACAGCCACCTGCTCCGATCCTTGGAGCCGTCTTAGGCGCGGGGAAGGCTAAGTGAACCGAGCCCTTTGACATTCACACATTAGAACAGAAGTCCATTTAGGTTGCTTCCGTGTCTTGTACATTGTAAACTGTGCAACAGAAAATGAATACAGACGGATTTAAATATACATGTGGTATATTCATAAAGCATGTTCCATAGGCTATAAAAAACCACACTCAACAATACAGAAGAGCCTCGCAGATATAATGTTGAGTGAAACAAGTAAGGTACAAAATAATACGGACAGTATTACTCCATCTATTTCTATTAATATGGATTTCAAGAATGAGCAAAAGTAATCTGTGGGGACAGAGTTCAGAACCGGGGTTACTCTTCGTACTGAATGAGAGGAAGAATGAGGCAGCTTTTTGAGGTGCTGGAAATGTTCTTTATCCTGATCTAGACCGTGATTACACAGGTGTATACATATGAAATAAATGCATTGAGTTCCACACTCAGGATTGATGTCATCTGCGATTTTTTAAAGTTATACCTCAATATAAAGAAGTTAACGGGGAAAGGATACTCAAGGGCTGTTACGACAGTTATCCACAAAGTAGAAACTTGTTTTTAATTTGCTGGTTCTCCACTAGAGGGCACCCCTGCACAAGAGCAAGTCCTCCTTTAGCGAGGGATGCATGGCCATCCGCAGCCGGCTCCAGGCTGGCTTTGCAGCTCACCTCCAACCATTTCCCCCTCGTGGTCACTACGCCCTTTTAAACTATTTGTGGGAGACTGCATGCAGCCACACAATCACACTAAGGTGTGAGAAGTGCTGTTGCGACAAAATCTTTTTTTTTTCAACAATTAGATAAGACCCCGTAAGGAATCTGCGTGGCCAGATTAAGGGATGAGCAAGGTTCAGCAAGACCTAAAATTCACGCAGTCTGTCTCTGTTTAAAAGTCAAAGCCTTAGCAAGTGGTAATCAAGTGTGACTTTTAACCCCTAAAAGTCTTAAGAAGAGATGTTCTTGAGTTGTCAGCTTCAATATTTAGAATAAAAAGTTTTTAAATGCAGTAACTCTTTGAAACACTCCCACCAAGAGAACATTCCTCTTACATTTGTGTAAACTCCACACATATCACAGATGAAAGGTCTGTTTCCTATTTACTGTAGTCTGTTGTTATTCATTCATCCTTTCTTTCTTTCTTTCAGCAGTTATTGAGCACCTCACCATGTCCCAGGCCTGTGCTGTCATCCGGAATGGAGGTAAAGGATGCTAATTCCCTGTCTTCACGTGGTTCACACACGGGGGAGACAGACTCAATAACCACACAGTCTACTGAAGTGGCACAGGGGCCACAGAGGACTGGGACGGGGTGGGGGTAGGGGTACAGTAAGGGATGGTTTCTGGGAGCAGGTGATTTCTGAAGTTGTGATAGTCTGACAGGAGGTGAAGGACATCTTAGACGTAGGGAATACTATTCCTAACCCACACACCAGCACGAGCCACGGCAAAGGGACATTAGCATGATGCCATCATAAAGGTGCCAGTACACAGAGTGCTTCGAGAAGGCTATAAGGGAAGAATTAATTTGGTAGAGTCACATCTAGGAAGATTTACTGTGCCATTTTCAGGTTGACCTGGAAAAAAAAAAGTGAAGATCCAGTGGGTGAAGAGGTGGTTTGCACAGACAACCAGCAGGTGGCGCCCGCCCTTCCCTGCAGCTTGCGGACGAGCCCGGTCAGACCCCTGCCGAAGTACCTCCCACCCAAATACAGAATCTGGCGGGGGCCCCCCCCTGCCCCACCCCCGCTTACACCCCCCGACCCACCCCCACTTACCCCCCTCCGCCACACGCAGCATATACCCTGAGCTGTTCTGTACCCGCTACCCAGAGAAATGAGGAGAAACAGCCGTGGTGAACAAAGCACCGTATTTGCTTTCATTTCACAGAAGAATGTAACTTCTGTGCTTTCTCTTTCAGAAAATAAAAGATCGTCTACCGTTTCTACTGAATGCCACTAAAAGAGAGAACTAAAAACAGTCATGGATTTCAGAATAGTGAGGACGCTGCACCTAAAACTACGGGCACAAGGAAGCCGCCTAGATGCGGAGAGATCAGATCGGCGCTCAGCGCCGGCACTCCTGGGGGCTCCCCGTGACCCCTCAACGCCCCCCCACCCCGACACACACCCCAGGAGAGGCTGGCCTACAGCGCGGGACCGCCCACCCACAAAAGAAACACACATTAAGAAAAGCAAGGGGGGCCGAGCAGAGAACAGGGCTCCGGGGCCAGGCCCCTGACTCGTCAGCCCTGGACCCACGGACCGGCCACGCGCTCTCACGCGAGCGCCGTTTCCCAGCTTTGAAGTGGGTCCGTAGCAGCCTCCCGGAGGCGCTGCCGGGGCTGCGTTGTGGAAGCGCCTGCCGACGCCCAGCCTACAGCAGCTCCTCAGCAAACGGTGCCGCCGGGTCCCCGCTGCTCTCCCCGCCACGCCGGCCTCCTCGCTGTATCTCGCGTGGGTCACGCACACGCTCACCTCGGGGCACGGGCACTGGGTCCTCCCTCTCTGCCTGGAGTGTTCTTACCCAAGATGTCTCCTTGGCTCACTCCTTAAGCTCATTCAAGTATTTGTGCAAAAGTGGGCTTCCCAAAAAAGCAGATCTGACCAGTCAGTCCATTTAAATTGCAGCTCCCTCTCCGTCCCTGCGCAGGCATTGCCAGTCTTCCTAATTCTGCTCTATTTTAATAGCCGTTATCACCTTCCAACATTTTATGTATTTTGCCTACTTACCAGGTTTATTGTTTCCTGCCTACACTCCCCTGCCCCTCACTTTTCCACCTTCCACTTTTATCTGTTCTGTTCACTGTTGTATCCTTGGTGCCAATGACATTGACTGGGACATAGTAGAGGCTCAATAAATACTTTCATGAATGAATGGATGCACACATGAATGCCCTTCTATCTCTGAGAATCAGGTCTCCTCATCTGTCAAACAGGGAGAGCTGGTCTTAAGATGAAAAGTTATCCCTTATAAGAAAGGGCCAGGAGGTGGGGAAGCACGGCACCATGGCTGACTGCTTTCCAAGTGACTGTCAAAAGCATCCAGCAGGAGGGGGGAGGGTGTCGCTCAGTGGGAGTGCCTGCTTAGCATTCACAAGGTCCTGGGTTCACTCCCCAGTGCCTCCATATAAACAAGCAAACAAACCAACCTATTTACTTTCCCCTCAAAAAGAAAAAAAAAGTGAAAAAAGGGGGGGGTATTCATCAAGGAGTGGTGAAAGGCTGCCCAGACACATACCTGGGCCCTAGTTTCAGTCCCTGTGCAGAGGGGCTTAAACTTGCTGTGATTTGGCCCTGGGGAGGAGTGTCAAAGGCTGTGGGTTTAAGCAGGGCCCTGTGTCTTTGGGGTTGGCACTAATTACACCCTACTATGCTCAGGAAACTCAGTAGAGGTTGTTCCTTACCCTGGAGGTGCCCATGGTCAATCTTTGTCTTTTGGAGAGGGGCAAACCTGGATTTAATCCCAGCTCCTCCACCATTGAGTTATGATCTTGGACATGTCACATCATTTGCCTGAACCGCAGTTTACACCTCTGTCGAACGGGGATAATAATGGCTACTGCTCGAGGTTATCTTGAGTGCCCAGCACACTGCTTACACGTAGCGTACATGTCATAAAACTATTTCCCTCTGGCTTCCATCTTGAGCTCCATCTTCTGGAGACATAGTGTGCAATTCAGGACTCGCCCTGCAGAGGGTGCCAGAGCACCAAGGAATCCTAGCTCCCCCGGGACGCGGGCGTGCAAGGTGGCTGTGGGCACACTAAGTCAGCCAAGGTTCTCTGGGCCCCAGACCTTGGGCTCCTCTCTCTCCATGCCCTCTACCCAGGTCCCCTCATGCCCACGGGCTGCCCAGCAGCTCCCCCTTCCCAGGCTCTGTCCAATCAAATATGATACAACCACTGTCCTGGGTAAGTAACAAGCTGGTTTGATAAAACCAATTGTGCCAGGAAGTTTTTAGGTAATATTTGCTCCTCCCAGCTAACATGTGTGAATTTTAACAGGGGCTTTCTGAATACGTAGTTGGGAACAAGTGGACATTACAGGGGCTAAAATCAGCATTTCTCATTTAGACCCACGTGTGTTTCATGGTGAATATTGAAGATTTATTTCCTCCCTTCAGTGAGCTACTATTAGATTAAAAAGATAAAATTACTCGTAATCCACTATTTTAACCTACAAAACAACAATTTCATATGGTCCGAATTAATTTCACCCCTTCAACTCTTCTCAACTTCACTGCAGACCCTAGCTTGCTTTTCTTTCTTTCTTTCTTTCTTTCTTTCTTCTTTCTTTCTTCTTTCTTTCTTTCTTTCTTTCTTTCTTTCTTTCTTTCTTTCTTTCTTTCTTTCTTCTTCTTTCTT